GGATGAGTAAAGGGGGAAATGCGTCAGCATCCAGCACTCGCAGCATCCTGATTATCATTGGTAATTCACAACAAGAGCGCTTTTTCTCCATGCATGCGCTGCCCACTGCCCCAAGCTCAGTGACGCAACGGTACTCGGCGTGCCGCTCCAATCCAGCCACCCTGTCCAGTGCGCTTTCCCTGTCTCCAAGCGCCATGTAGTAATATACATAATTCAACTCCAGTCCCGCGCAAAACTGCCAGTAACTCTGAACATCTTCTATCTTATGCAAGAGAAACCGGTTCTTCTGCAGAACAATATCCATCATGTACAAGAGACACCTGACGCGCAATCGTCCCATACTAGCTGCTACATCCACGGAGCCAACCGTAGAGAATACATGATTTGCATCCTGCCAATTCATCTGATTGTCTCTTTCCCGAACACCGAACGGCGAACCAATAGGTTTGTTCAGGGTATTCATCAGCCAGTCATCATCCAACGGCGTTGGTACAAGAGCAGCAATTCCCCAAGTACAAGCGCTCCAGTGTGGTATTTGCGCCGCCCCAACCTTCGGCACGGTCCACTGAGAAAAGGCACAACGAACATAAGCCAGGAGCTTTTCAACCGCCACAAACATCTTTTTACATAACTCGCTATAAATGGCCTGATTCATCACAGTATTTTGTGTAAATTGGATGTCAACATCGTCCTCACCACGGGTTGTATTTTCCTTATTCCTTTTCACCCTATCACTGCCGTCTTCCTCGTGAAACAACGGTGTTTCACTCTCTCCGCCTATATTTAAATCTTCCAGAGAGTCAAGTTCAAACAGAAATGGCCTAGACAACAGATAAAGCGACTCTTCGTCCTCGCAGAAGAGTTGTGAGAGTGCATTTTCAACCAACTCGGATGCGTCTTTGATCTTCTTCGTAGCCAAAATAAGGTCAGCCAATGGGGCATTCTCCTGTAGGTTGAGCACGGTATTAAATTGCGTGAGAGTGGAACGCCCGGGAATTGTCCGCCGGGCATAACGGATAAATGATTTGCTCATGGAATCCTCATCTAGGGATAACTCACTCTCTTCCTCGTGCAGCAAGCTCGCATGATCCAATGATGATGATAATAATGAGGAAGTAGAGCTGAAATGAATATCTGCCTCCAGCTCATAGCTGGATGTGTTTATGTCCAGGGTTGGAAGTACTGAAGTCTCTGCACCAATTCCCGTCCTCATTGTCGCCGGTGAAACTCTGTTTGATGATGACTCTTGGAAAGAAGGCGGTATGCAGAGCGCCCGTGCCCTCTGCACCCCAGCACTCACTGATCTGCTTGGCTCCAGAACTTTGACGCTGGCATCCGCCCCGGCACTCACCAGTTTCCCAGCGCTATGGCAATACCGAACGACGCGGACCTCCTGTGAATCACCGGGTGTGAAATGGAGCTGTGTTCCATCATCCCTGCGCCAAAAGTATACACTTCCATCATCGCCACCGGTGCAAACAATACTGTCATCCTCCATGAAGGTGACATTTTTAAAATGCGACCTCACATTCTCTCGCCCATGCAGACGAATAGCGTTTTGAATGGGTATAGAAGGCACATGCCGTCTTCCAATGTGAAAAAGCATAGAGAAGTTATCCAATTCCACATGGTCATCGTTCCCTTCTCCTGGTATGCTGCTGGAGTAAAGGGCATCCAACCATGAAAAGGTATAGACGTCCTCACGATAATAATTTACCGCCATCCAATCACCGCGATCACTAAAAGCAAGCCCACCAATACTGCGGGTTTTATTAGACAAATTTGGAATCGTTAACAAAGCATACGCTCTGTGAAGATTCATACGAATGTCATGTAAATAAATATTCGCTGTATTGGTCCCAGATGCAATAAGAAAGGGCCAACGCTCATGTGACACCAGCGTGTTAACATGTATTACCTCGCCTTCCCGTGGACTTACAGTAAATGGAAACTCATTCATCGAGTAGCGCTCACGGGTGTCAACACGAGCAATGACTCCGTGAGTATATGCAACATATGCCACATCCGGCCACCATGGAGAAGTTACCAAAGAGGTCGCCTTTGAAAACATTCGGCACTTGTGATAGGGATGCCCCGTCTCCAGATCGGTCAGTAGGGTTCGACCATCCAAACCGCATGAAATTACGCGTCTCGTATCACCCGCAAGAAAAGCAGCATACATAATTGCAGCACGATGCATTGTACGGCACGACTGCAGTAACTTCCACTCGGTTGTATTGTAAAGAGAGAGGGTACAATCATCAGAAGCAGACAGCAGTAGCCCCTCCGTTTCATCCAAAACCAGCGAGTTAATCCCAGCCTCGTGCCCAAAGACTTCAACACCAACAGCAAGGGAGCATGTGCGTGACTCACTGCACGTCAACGGGAAAACATCTGGCAAGCGTTGGATCGCCTCACTTTTTGGCTTCAGTTGAATGCATGTGTCCAAGTGACTACCCGCCTTCATCAAATCCAAAGATTCAAAAATGGAGAGGCGCCGAGGTGCCTGCGGCGGCTGCATTTCATTCATGTACGCCATCACGTTGGTATGAGGTTTCAGCGGCTGCATGCGGTACGCCAGTTCCGCATCGTATAACTCCAGGCGGTCTGACAGTCCACAGCGCCACGACGACTTGACGTATTCGATGTATCGACCTCTCTCAGCTGCCATCCTCCTCGCTTCCCTGTTTGTTTGTTTGTTTTCTGTCCCCCCGCCCCAACACTTCCTTCAGTTTAGGGTCCGGTGATTTCCTTCACGCACCTTCTCCAATGGCAGAATGAGACGTGGGAAGAAAGGGAAGTGAAGAGGGGGGGGGGGGGGGAAAAAAATCTCAGAAACATGTACATCGGAACACTCAAGAAGAGCAAAAAAAAAAAAAAAAGAGTTTTTAGAAAGACATGTATTTTAAAATATTGTACTTTCTTTCGTGTATATTTTATGTATAAAAAAAAAAAAAAAGAGAGAGTGAGATGAATCGTTCTATTCCCCACAAGACCAAACATTACGCCCAGTCTCATCAATGCGTGAGCCTTCATGCGTTATGGCAAGTGTGTCACACAACAAATGATAGGCAGCAGTCAAACTCTCTTGTCCCTTCTCCTCCAGTTTTGAGCGCCAACACCGCTCCGCTTCACGATTCCTTTCTTCTTCCATCGCTTCCTCGTCGTGTGTCGTGTCCCGCTTACACAATTTAGACTCCAACGCCTCCACGCGCTTCTTCAGGGTCATCACCTCAACTTTCCGTTGACAAAGCTCTGCCTTTAATTCAGATGTCTGTTGTCTCCAGGAGTTTACGTCACGCAAAGAATTCGTTTGCAGCAGCGCAAGCCGCGTGTTAAACTCCAGAACCACCTCTGAAAGCGCCTCCTCCACTCTTGTGAGACGCGCAAAAAGCAACGGAGAGTCGGAGGCCCCTGAGACATCCTCGTCGCAAAAAGAATGTGTCCTCCATGCAACCAACTCGGGTGGCCCCTGACAACTTAACGGCGGCGGCGGCTTCAATGTCATATTGGGTGAATAACGCTCCTGGTGCGTCGATGTAAGCGGCGCGCAACTTATGAGAAAAGAATCCCCCCGTGCAAGCAGGCGTTTCCGTAGCAGAGCCTGAATCTCCTTAAAAGAGACGGACTCCCTCGCAGTGGGCACCGTCGTTTCATGAACCAAATTCCCTTCAGCAGTCGGCAGCGATGCCTTCTCCTCACACACGATAGGACTTAGTAATGCCCCACAGACATAACAAAAACGTACAGGCTTGACAGACGCGTGGGCACCACCACTTCCCAGGCAAACGGCTGAACGTAAATCACACGCTTCACACCGCATGGATCCCTTTTTCACGTCGCCAACGCCTTAATCATTAGTTTCATGTAAATTTAGCAGTGATAATAATAGAAAACAAGAAAGGGAGAGAAACAGCAGAGCCGCCACAAAAAGCAACAAATAAAACACTCCTCAAAAATTAAACCAAAACAAACAAACAAACACACACATATATATATATATATATTTACATACAGGTAAACATGCATAGAAACAAAAAAAAAAAAAAAAAAGAAGCCCGGAATTGTGATAAAAAAACGTAGTCATTGCAAACGATATAAAAAGGCATTGCAACCGGTCCTCCCCTCGAAAAGCATACGTGTAACAAACCGTTTAAAAAAAAAAAAAAACAGCAAGTAACAGAAAGAGAAAAAAAAAAAAGTAGAAAAACATAAAACACATTGGTAAGGATAAGTCATTTTGCCCTTTTATTTTTCCCCCCCCCTCTCTCTGTTGTGCTGTCTCCGCTATAGAGTGTAATTTGTTTCTATAAGGCGATAAGCAAATGAAGCCAATTAACGTAATTGCATTCAATTTTGTCTTCACTCATCCTCATTTAATATTCCCTCCGTGAGCTCATCTAGACGCCGTCGGTACATATCCGCTACGTCCCCTCTTTGCAAATCCCGCGGAGATCTTGACAAACCCTCCACGGTATCACTGGCACATCCGCTACTGCCGTTTTCTTCTCCATGACGTTCATGCGCTGCATCCGCGGTCAACCTTTCCTCGCTTTTGATGTGTAGTATAAGCTCCATGTTGGCAATGACAACCTCCATTGCCTCCGTCTTCACCTCATCGCGGGTACGCACCTCAAACAAAAGATTATTAGCGCTAAGACATGACCCAAAACGTCGTCGTAGTAGGCCCCACTCATGCTGCGTTATAGACATGGCAAGATTCAGCATTGTCATCATGAAAAAAAGAATAAATAACATCGTCATGAAGTTCGCCAAAACGGTCACAATCAGATACACGGACCCCTCAGCATCCTCAATGGCAGGGAGGATGGCGTCACCAAACATCACAAAATAAAGTGCCACGAGAGAGAAACCCATGTCGGAAAACTCCCCATTGGAATGAGGTCCAAAAACAATACAAAAGAAAAGAGCAAATCCAAAAAAGATAGGCGCAACACTCATTGCAAAGCCAAGTAACCTTGGAATAACACGTCGCATCGCTCGTACCGCAAAGTACATCTGTGGGAAGTAACGAATATACGAGAGAAGATTTACTGAAAGAAGTAACCCCGTTAAACCCAAAAAGATACTCTCCAACGTGTCGCAAAACTCCGGAGTAGAAATGCCCCAGAGTCTCACAGATGTTGTAAAAACGTACGCCACTCCAAGCGTATCGGCAACAATTGCAATATAATGCCAAGATTCCCCCCTTGAGGTTTGTAAATGCTCCCGCCAGGCATCGTAGAAATCCGTGTAAACAGTCTCCGGCACCAAAGAACCGGCTCTCGGCACGTGTTTTACCTTCCTTGTAACCGGCTTTCTTGACCGCGGAGAACGCCTATAAAGAATGGGCGATGCATGGGAAGTCGTGGAGTCGCCCTGTGCCCCCAGTGAAGCATTCGAGCCTGTTGAATATGCCACAGCATGCGTGGAAAACTCACTACTTCTTTCCTGTGGAAGAGGTACCAAGGAATCTTCTTCCCGTAAAGTTGGTTGCGGCACCGCAACGCGTTTCCGAGAAGTCGCTATACGCCTCAGTGCACGATACCTCAAAACAATGTCAAACACCGCAAGTAGTAGTAACGCCACGGAAAAAAAGAATCGTGGATGCGCAAATGGGCAGATACGTCTCGTTTTCACTGAAATCATAAACTCCACCTCCACGAGGCCTCCGGCGTGAAAGGAAAATACCTTTTCAATGACCCAGTGATAAATAACGGTCTCGAACCCGCTGGTTGCCTCCTGACGATTAAAAAAAGTATCAGTCAAATGCCGAATCGATGCCTTTAATCGAATCCTATAAACATTGTCCATCAACGGAAAAACAAAGCCGTCATTCTCGCCATCTGTGCCATGACTCGTACCATTTTCACTCGTATCAGGGGCTTCACGGCACGGGCGATAGTACAGACCAGTGATTTCATCATATCGAGGAGCACACACCGACTCCACGTATTTATCCCTATCCGAGTGAGCAGCCCTATGGTCACGGTTGTCAGTTGAGCTTCCCTCCCTGTCATCGGAAAAAGGGCCCAGGGGATCCTTCTCTGTCAATTGAACCGAAAAGTGTCGCAGTGGTGAGGGGCCTCTGTACTCCCGCTGCGAGTAAAGATACGCATCCACCTCCATGGATACCGGCAACACACACATAAGATTCACTAAATCACCTGCATCATCAAGATCGTGGACGTTCCCATGTACGATAGCCTCAAAGCAATCCGAACCTTCTGGTGTCTCACTTTCCATCAGCCGCCGCAGAGCCGCAGCTCCATCCTCTGACACTACATAATAGTAATAGTGTAACTCACTCACGGAGATGTTTGCCAGAGCGTAGTACACCTTGACAAACTCCTTAATATCTTTCAACACGTCTTCACGTTTGTGTAAATACACCGTTGGGCGAAACTTAATATTCCCCTTGTCCTTCCCAATATAGTCGTTTCCTACAAAAGAATGAAGCACGGCTTTGCGCTGCTCTTCGTTCGCAATATTCTCCGGCGCGTGAAACATAACAGCAATCAAAATGAGAAATAGTAGCATAAGACAATTCACGACTAATTTAAACGGAAAGTTACCGTCACGCAGCAGTTTCCGGATCGGATCTGTAAAAAAGTCCTCATTTATCAGCCGGTGATGCTCACTTTTGCATCCTCGTGTGTTGAAATCATGATGCCGAGAAAACAACGCGAGAAATGCCTGCGTTTTCCCTCCGTTCGCTTGCGAAGGCGGTGGCGGTGGCGGTGGCGGCTCCCGTGGCGGCCCATGGCAGGGTCCACTGGAGGCCACATCCGCATTTTGAAGTACCACGCCCCCATTTTCCGTCATCTCTCTTGTCACGGGCGTGTTGCCGAAAGGAAACCGCGCGTGCCGCAGATGTTGGCTGAAATCGCCGTGCATTTCCACCCCGATTTGTCCCCCTTCACACGTGGGAACCCACACACACCAACAAAAAAAAAAAAAAAAACGACTGAATCAACCAGACTACTACCCTGAACACACACACACACAGAGAGAGAGAGAGAGAAAAAGAAAAAAGAAAATAAAGCAGAAGAAAAAAAAAAGAAAGGAAAAGAAATGAAAACAAAGTCCAGGAGAAAAAAAAAGTTTGATTTCCCATTTTGCCCACACCACTCTTCCACATCACCATCGCAGGGGTGCGTACATTATATACATGTATATCGTTCATGTGGGCTAACCGAACAGCCTCTTCACAATATCCTTCTCGGCCTTCAAGTGCAGTCCAAATTCTGCTAAGCGGTAACTCTCGAGCAGATGCGCCTTGGAAAAATAAAGATAATGTGAAAGATTCCGCTCCTCCCGCACATCGAAAAAATAATCCGTCACCTCATTAAGGTCAAATGAAGCTTCAGAGTCATCCGTCGTACGTGTACGAACAGCCGTGTGCAATGCCTCTGGTCGCCGCCTCCAATACACCGGCCAACTCTCCTCACCACCACACCGTCCTCCGCTTAATCGCCACTTATCGTGAAGAGAACGTTGCGGGTAGCGTCCATTAGCAAAAAACTCGCACAAACAACTCATACCGTAACGGCAAATGGCCGTGTTAAAACTTGTCGAAAGTTCAGGACTTAGATGTATCAAACGACGGCATTGATCGGCCGTAATGGAGTAATTTGGCGGTCTATGAGTTCGGCCGCGAAAGCGATGAATTTCAACAGGGGTCTCATGCAGGTAAAAAATACGACGAAGAGAAATGTTATTTATGACGTTTGTAAAGTTTTTAGGCACCAAAGAAACAAAACGATATTGATGCCTCTCCTCAAAAGAACCAAAAGATGTGGTATTCCCGTCATGAACAAGCTTGCTAAACCTCAAACTTTGCTTAAACAGAGTTAAAGAAGAATTTACATTCCATAACGTGCCTCGACCTCTTAAAAACGCGATGGCCCGCTCCATTAAAGAAGCAAAACGCCCCAAATGGATACGAACATTGTAGTCGGGCATGTAGTTTCGCAGACCATGCAAAGGTTTCTGAATCGATGCCTCGGAAAGTGGAATCTCATTATACCACGTGACGCGCACCCATGGAATGGCCGGAGGAAACCAGTCGATATTTCCACCAGTGTTGAATCGTGGATCAACACGAATAAGATCTGGACGTGACCACCATGTGTCCGGATGTGACATGTTTCGTTGGTGAAGGTGTGGCGAATGGTACACAAGAGGAATCGCCACAAACACGGATCCGGGGTTCATTAAAAAAAAGACGGTTGCCAATGTACCCTCATTACAAACAAAAATATCCGTCGCCAACATCATCTCCACTTGTTCCTTCGCACCGCGGCCCACAGGAGTCTCCAGAAAAAACTCCACCCCACCAAATCTTTCTCGGAGAGACCGAAGAAGTTCCTTCTCATTTAAAATGCCACGGTTATCTTCTTTATGGCATATGGATACACGCGGCGGACGCAGTGAATTAGGCGATGAATAATTTCTTCGGTAAGGACGCTGCTCCGCCCCAGTGTGGCGTATAATGTAGTCTCGAAAAGAGTACCACAGTGAAGGAGATCCACTGGCCGAATATGACGGTGTTACCCAACTCCAACTTTTTGTTCCTGTGCCCGCGAGAAGTCCACGGTACACACCCGAAGGCAGTGCCACGTCATATATAGCCGGTCGACGAGAAAAAAATGCAAACGCCTTATTGGAATTTGGAAGCCTATCTTTTGAAAAGTATCTGAAAGAAGTAACGATAAGCTGCACGTCTGGTAGAGCCTCTGAGAGAAACTTCATCTCAGAGGGGAATATATGCGCAAATGCTCGCTGAATTTCCATGGAACCCCAAAAAAAACCAAACAGATCACATAGAAGAGTGTGAGCAAAATTCCACGGCGACGCAGTTGGAAGAAAGTACGCCACCAACGTATTATGGTAGGGTGCAGAGGCCTCTTCGTGTCGCCTCAATTTCCCTCCCTTCGCCTCATCACGGGGACGTGGACCCAAAACAACTACTGGAGAGTAAACAAAGGCCCAGTACGATTTCCGTCGAAAAGAGTTTAGCCCAGTACGGGGAAGCTCCAGCGGTCTCGAACCCAACGACACCGGTGGTAGCCGTAACTTCCCCTTTGCCAGAAGTCGACGGTAGGACGATATGTTCCGCACATAAAAGAAAAATTTATTCCTCTTCTTGTCAAAGTACACAAATTTGTAAAGGCATGTACGATTATAAATGGGGTAGTAATAAATATCGGCGGATCCCATCATATCATCCTCCTTCAAACTTGCATTGTGTGTCTTGTCCGGCAAAAACATGCCATTCAACACGATATCCACACGCCCCGCATCCATTTCGCCGCCGTCACTACTTCGTGGCCCGTCCGGGTGAAAAGAAGGCGCCACACTGGCACGGCGTGGGTCGTTAAATTGATGTCCCACACAATACATCGAAGAGTAGGTGTCAAGCTCCTCCATGTCCGCGCGGGGACGAGCAGCCGTACGTTGCCTACCAACCGCCCTGTCATTGTACCGAAAACGAACAGCGATAAGATCAACAACCAAAACCCAGATAAAAAAAACAGCCGCGATAAAAAACATTACACGGCGTAAAGAACGCCCGCTCACAGGCCGACATCTGCGCATTCACTTTGAGCTCACTGAAAATAGCACAAAAAAAAAGCAAACGACGGAAGAAACGGGCACGTGCCTATCCTCCTTTTTCTGTGCTTTGCGTAAATTTCTCTACCGCCACATAATAAAATTCAAAGAGAAAAAATAATAATAAATAAATAAATAAATAAGCTGTGTGTATATCATGCAACGCTCACGTCGGCAGCTAAAATTAACGTTGTTCTCATTCTTCTTCTTCCTTTTCTTTCTCCACAAAACATTCTGATCCAAGGCGCATCTCTACCACACGCACACACGTATACACACAGACAGAAATAAGCGATCCACATTCCCGTCCATGTGTAATCGTCCTTGTTTTCCTTTTTTTCTCATTCCGATGGAATAAAAATAAAACAGCAAAGAGAGCAGCTCCACACGTAATTGTGCTCGTTATGGATTTTCGAGCCTCTTTCCTTCCCATTAATTTCACGGTTTGTTCCTTTTCGCCTCGTCCTTCCTGCTGAGGAGGGAAGTAGGGGTGGTGGTGGCAAAGACGCACTGTGTCCTCTCCGCACACAGCAGCGTGAGGAAACAACGCACATTTCACAAGTGTTTCCAATGCAGGGTAAATAAAACTGAGTGAAGGCAACGGCAGCTTCTTTTTTCTTTTTTTTTTTTTCGTTCCTCCCTCCACTATCCTTCGTGCATCCTTTCTGTGGGCTGACGGTGCACGCAACCCACTCCTCACCAATGTATGCCTCTTCCTTCTCTTACCATTGTTGCCACCCACCTACGTCCCATTCAAACAAACAACATGTGCATCCCCCGCAGGACACGCACACTAAACATTGAACCCCTCGGCACCGTAAAGAAAAGCTGCCGTTCTTTAAGCGCATGTCCTCTTAAATAAAATTCCCTCCATCAATGAGTTCGTCTCACTGACATCTTTGTCCACACATTCATTTGTGATATCTACACACGTGTCTGTACTCCGCCTTGTCGTTGCCCCCTCCTCCCCCCAAAAAAAAGCACACACGCCGGTTTTCCCTTACACGGAGACGGCATCCCATGCAAAAACAAAACGGGACAGAACCCCGCATGGAACCACTCCCAACGGCCTCATCGACGGTCACTTCTTCCGCCTGTGGCGGTTTTTGCATCGCTCAATGCCGCGCTTAAGAGGGCGTCGTCGAGCAGCTCCGCCTCCGAAAAGAACTTCTCAATAAAATCATCAAGTGAGATGCCTTCATTCGAAGGTGCCTTTGCCTTCACGCCCCCCTTGGCGGAACATGTGGGTTCGTTCAACGGCGCTACAATCTCGGTGGCATACAACGATATCCGACGCGGCGATTGCACCGGGCACGGTGGTGAAACATCATTCACAACGGCAGCGCAGAGTTTCTTTTTAGGCGCACCACTCATGTGAGAAACACCCTCATGCAATGGCCATTTTCGTAACGGCACTCTTACTTGTGCCTCCCACCAGGGAAACACAAACCGCAGCAGGATGCCAAGGCAAACACTGACAAACGTTGCGCCGAGTAGTTCCGAGATGACGCATATAAGTGAGGCCGACACAAGGCTGCTCTCATCTATTGCCTGAAAGAAAGCCAACTCAAACCCCATCCCTGTGGACAAAAAATAAAATTAAATTAAAAAAAAAGAAAAAGCGCCAATTCATTATAAATTGAAACAACACGCACATAAAAAATAAAATATACTAAAAAATAAATAATAAAAATAAAAATAAATAAAAAAAAGAGAAACTCTCAAAACACACTAAAAGGAAGCAGCACCAAAATAAAGAAAGAAAAAAGTGATGAGGCAGAAAAATCGCACATATACAAAAAAAAAAAAAAAAAAGGTAATATAAACATATATAAAGATACGAAGAGAATAAACAAACAAAGACCTCTGAAGTTGTAATGATAAATACCTCCCCCCCCTCCCGCACACACACACACACAGAGAGAGACACGTGTGAAATAATAATAACAACAAAACACATGAGTTTTTTTTTTTTTTAACATAGAGGGAAATCCGTAAATATAAACAAAGTTATTGGTTTGTTTGCTTGCTTGCTTCTCTGTTTGTTTGTTTCCTTTTCTTTTATTTTATTTTTTGTTGTTGGTTTTTGTTTTTTGTTTTTTTCTTCGGGAGGGAAGGGGGAAAGGGGGAAGAGAAGGAGTGGTATTGGAGACAATTTATCTCCACAGGCTCTCCCTCTCTCTCAGCCACACACGCAGAGGGCACACGCACACACACACACACACACACGTACATGCATATATTGGCAAATGGGCGTAACTACGCGGGGGACGTGTATTTTCCTCCCGCATCTCCGGCGGTGTGTTTGGCTAAAAAAATTCCTCCTTTTCTCCTCCTCGTTTATATTTTCTTCATTTTTCCTCCTCCTCCTCCTCCTCCTCGGGTGTTGTTATTTTTTTATTTATTTTTATTATTTTTATTTTTATTTTTATTACCGACCAAAAATAAAAGTACACAAAAATACAACGCAGCCCAAACGGGCCCCAAAAGAAAAAAAAAAAAAAAAAAACCAAAAGTAACACACCACCAGAGAAAAATAAATATATAGAAAGAGAAAGAGAGAAGGAAAGAACAAGAGACATATATAATATTATATAATATTAAGTGGAAGAAGAAAGCACCAACAAAAAAAAAAAAAAAAAAAAAGAATGTCAGTACTGCCCTGCCAAGACGTCCCCACACACTCACAGGGCGTCGGTCACAGCATCCGCCCATCCACCACCACTGGAACGGCACAACACACATAAAAATGACCGCAGGCAAATAAAAATAACCCGGTGTGTGCATGAGAGCCACAATGAAGCCTCTCTCTCTCTCTCTCTCTCGTTCTTCAAGGAGAGAGAGCCACAAATGCACGGCGAGAAAACAACAACAAGAACAACATCAACAAAAGGAAGTGCACATATCACCCATGAAAAAAATCTATAGGAATCATAAAAGAAGAAAAGAAAAGAAAAAAAGAGAGAATAATGGTAAAAAAGAAAAAAAGAGAAACCCCCTCACACACACACACACACAAAGTGCACTGCTTACTGGCACTTCAAAAAGATGATGATAAAAAAAAAAAAAAGAACACCAAACAACTACAAATATGCACCATAATAAGTGGGCACTGTACATTGCATACATCTAACAAATATAATAGCCACAACAGTACATATTTCCCGCTTCCTTTTTGTTGTTGTTGTTGTTGCCGTTTCTGCTTTCCATCGCTCACCACGCAAACAAAAAAAAAACAAACAAAAAAGAAAAACGCACAAATAATAACAGCTCTATATGCACAAGTGTATATGTATATATATATATATGTATATGTAGATATAGATATATCCATGCGTACAGGGAAACAGCTGCCCAATGCATGCACATATGACCGGTGAATAAGAAACGGAAAAATAAACACGAAGCAGGGGTATTGACGCGGTTGTAAATAAAGCAGCATGTCCTCTCATCAAATCACAAAAAAAAAAAAAAAGGGGGGGGTGGGGTGGGGGTGAAGGGTGGCCTTTTCAGTTAATTACTTCGCATGGCAGCGAGAATTTTAAAAAATGAAAAAAAGTAATTATTGATGAAAGGCGACAGCGACACAAAAAAAAAAAAGAGGGAGCTGCACGCAATTAACACTCCAACAGCAAAAACCCCACACTTATCTAAAAATAATAAATAAAAAAATTTTCACTTATTTTTTT